ACAAATAAAATCTTGCTGAAGAAAATTTTTAAATTGGCTGGAGAAATATATTGACAAGGAGCTTCCAGCAGTTCAAGCTGGATTCAGAAGAGAACATGGAATGAGAGTCATCATTGCTGACATCAGATGGACCTTGACTGGAAGCACGAATACTAGAAAGGTGTTTGCCTGTTTTATTGACTATACAAAGGTATTCAAATCTACAGATCATAACAAATTATGAGTTTCCTCTCTTCAGTCTAAGCTACTAGTTTACAATCTTCTGGTGTAGGGAATAACAAGTGAATGACTGATTGAACAAATGGTAACATGTTATTAATGTATCATCCTTCCCAGGGTAAAACAGTAGAATCAGGGATTTTGCAGAGGCCCTAAGTTTCTGGCTTGGCTTACAGAAGGTCTAGTGTATAGCTTTTTTGTTTAGGTGCCTTCAAGTCAACTCCAACTAATAGCAATACTATCTATACACATCAGATACACACTTGGTCTGATGCTGTGACATCATCACAATCTCTGTTGTGTTCAAGTCTGTTGTTGAAGTCACTGTGTTAATTCATCCTTTACCCTTTCTGCTCTTCCAAACATGATTCCCTTCTCCATCCTTCTGATAGCAAGAACAATGTGAAGTGAAGTATGTATTAGCCCTTAAGAGCATCCTGGTGCAACAATGAAAGAATCTTTTTAAAGAGAAAAGTAAACTGTGGGCACAGGGAGGTAGGGAGGAAAAGGTGCAACAATGAATAAATGGGAATCCAAATTTTCTGTAAACTTTTGTTAAAATACCAACTAAAAAAAAAGTAAAAAAAAAAAAAGAGATCTTCCACCAATCCTGATGCCACAATTCTTCTCATAGAGCCCAGCCTCCCGGATAATCTGCTCTGCATACAGGTTGAAAAGGTATGGAGACAGAAGACATCCCTGGCGTACACCCTTCCCAATTTTGAACCATGCATTGTTACCCTGCTCTGTTCTGACAACTGCCTCTTGCTCCAAGTATAGGAATTGCATTAGCACGATTAAATGTTCTGGGATTCCCATTCTTCTCAGAGTCAGCCACAGTTTGTTATGATCCACACAGCCAAAGGCCTTTGCATACTCAATGAAACACAGATAGACATTCTTCTGGTATTCCCTGTTTCCAACTTAGCTTTTCCAAAATACATTTACCGGCTCTGAACACAGTAAAGACCTCCCCAGGGTGTCCCAAGCAAACCTGTGACAACGCTCCTAGCTCCCAACCCAGTGAGCACCACAGCCCGTCTTCAGGGATGGAGACACCTACACTCCAAAGTAGTGATGGCAGCTGACTGGGCCTCAAGGACTAGGTGGGAACCTTGCCTGGAAAGAGGGGGCATGAGGTTGGGTCTGCAGGTAGAAGCAAGCTCACACCTTACTCAGCCAGTGGGAGCCTCATTGACAAAGTCCAAGGTGGAAATGTGATTGGCAGGACCAGAGTTGGAAGGAGCTCACAGTGCCAGAGCTTTGAGGGTTCATTGTCCAGAACTGGTGGTGCTTTCAGAGCCAGAGCTGAGGAGGGGTGTCACTGTGGCATGAGGAGCTTCATTCTCTGGTTAAGACCATGGAGATTCAGTGGAGTCTGAAGCAAGAAGGTTGGGGAGGTGTGCAGGTAGGGGAGATGACCCTGGCTGAAGAGGAGAAAGGGAAAGAATGCATGGTAGAAAGTAACTGAGGTCTGAGATGAGAAGGGTCGCTGACTGAGAGTAGAGGATAGTGAGATGAGACGTGGAAGAGATATACTGGGACCTGGAAAGTCCATCCCACCTTTCAGATCTGCAGCCACAGCCCTGAGCATCCCTCTCTGTGTTGCCCTGAAGGGGCAGGTATTTGGGTTCTCTAGTGTTCTGTCCTGTGATGTCACCCCAATAGGCACACCATAGTGCTAAGTCACCCCTAGAAGACTCAGGTCACCTGCTCACACCTGGCCCACCGGCCAATGCATGGGATCTCTAAGTAGAGCTAGATTTGAGTTGGGCTTCACTAGGTGGCAGATGTAGGGTTTTGGCAGTCCCTTTATTTATCCTTCTGTCAAAGGTAAGTGGGAAACTCCTGAGGGGAGAAGCTCCAGGTGTTGATGGAGCGTGGACTAGATGGGTTCCCAGTCTCTCAGCTCTAGCAGCTTCCTCGGCAGAATTGACAGACAATGGGGCTGAGAAGCTCTGGGAAGGGGGAGTGAAGCCCCCAACCAGAGCCTTCTAGTCCTCCTCCTGGCTCAGGATAAGTCCCGGATGCTTGGATTTCTGCCTGCAGGGGACAGGAGGACCCCAGCCCCGAGCTCGGCAGAGGGAGAACCCTTCACGCGCTGCTCCCTCCTTAGGTCCCTTCCATAACCCTCCCTCTGGCTGCAGCCTGGCCACTACTGAGGTCCCATGGGGCCAACCGCAGTGAGCCTGGCGTCCAGCCCCGCCCCCACCTCCAGACCAGCTCCAGGGGAGCAGTCAGGGGTCCCTTGGCTGCCTGCTGGCGGTGAGTGGAGTGTGTGTGTCTCAGTGAGCTGCCTGGGTCTGACCCGAGGGTTTGTACTGGGATTTCAGTGAACAAACACTACTTGAGGGACAGTGGGGGACTCACCAGCGGCGGGAGAGACGCGCTCTGGCGCCTGCGGGTGGCGACCCTGGGGGTGCCTGGCCTCTCCAAGCCTCAGTGCGGGCGCCGCCACCGCACTGAGCTCTCCCTGCGCAGACGGGGCCGCGCAGGGCCCGGCATCGCCCCCACTCCGTTCGGGTCCCCCGGGCCGGCCCTCCGCGGCGGGGGGCGCGGG